CGAGTAATTGACAATAGTAACAACTATTTTTTTTTTTATTTACACGTAATTACGATTTTCCTATAAGCCTGTGGCCTCCTGTAGCCTCTTGTGTTTTAGTAAATATGTCGAAACAAATTCATAATTTTTCAACGGGTTAGTCGTTATTTTTCAACGGTTAGGATTATTTTGGTTTAGCGTAATGGACAAATATTTTAAGAAATGGTGTGTATTGCTTAGCGATACTACAGTATATCATATATGTTACACGTGGCAGGTAACCTGTTAAACTGGTATTTTTTAACTCATAAACAGCAATGAATCCTATATTATACCCGTTTTATGCACAATATAAACATTAGTAGACAAATATCCTCTAAACGAATCCGTATTGAAAAAAGTGAGATTGATATTTTAATATAAAAACTCAAAAGTGTATACTGATTATTTAAGGCATGAGTAATAGAGGTTATACATTTAAAAAAAATTCACTTAAAATTATCCGAAAAAATTACCAGTCCGCTATAAATAAATGTATACATTATTAGACGTCGGATGGTAAAATAAAATTAAGCTTGGAAGAAATAAATGTGAGTACAATAAGGATAGGTATAGTTATATATATAAGTGACTATTAACTCAGAAGAGATGACAGTAACATACAGGATGTGCACGGAAAAATGAAAAATGCAATGCATTTTGTACTGTTCAATATGTCGATGTTAAGTACATACATGTGTTAAGTGCAATTTTAAAAATGTATTGACAATTTTCGACTCGTCATTGTAAATATTTATAACAGTAACATTGTGTATCTACTTGTAAGAAAAATATTTTAAATATTTAAATTTTATATTTTTGTTTAAAAAAACAAAAAATAATATAAAATATTTATTGCACTTTATATGATATAAATATAATTTATATAAAATATTTACCCGTACGGAAAGTATTGCATTTTTTCAGATCTCTGTAGGACACCCTGTATAATCGTAAAAACCTTCGCCTCCGGCCTCAGAGGAATAAAGCACTTAAATCTAGTCTGCGCCGGTACCGGTGGCCATCGTTTTGAATTATCAGCGACTAGGTACTTGACTACTTATATGAAACCACGATTGCGAGTCGAACTGAACGTCCCGACACTTTTGACGGGACTCGACTCGAAACTGAAAATGACACCGTTCCCCCGAGAGACTCCCGATGGGCGATGGGTTCGTAAATAATCCATAGAAGTGTTGCATGGATAATGTGGACGTAGCAATAACATTGCGAATCGTAAATTGGTATGTGCACGCCGGTATAACATTACCGTCGGAGTATATTATATCATGTGTTTTTATTGTCGCAAGAGACCTTCAATAAAAAAAAAAAAAACCTAACTAGAAGTTCTAGAAGTTTACGTATTTGAGTAGGGACCTATTACCTATACGAATAATAGATAGTATCGATTCGATATACAGGTTGACGCTTGGTCGTCGTTGTCATAATATTATTATATACCTATCTATTATAGTGTGCATTTAAAAAGGTTAGTTGATTTTTTTTTTTTTTCAAAAAATATCTCGTCAAAATGGCAATTTGAAAAAAACCGATAGGTATATAGAGAAAGAGGTACTTGGGCGAGGCTTTGGACGGAAAATAAGTGCTACTATTATAATATACATGAACTATGAAGTAATTAAGTTATCGCGAAATCGATGTCGAGAGACATAAAAAAAAATAATCGATATACCGGTACCTATAAAATAGTACGGTATGTACTATATTGTAGTAACCACAACCCATTGCTACGGGCAGTGCTGGACCGGATAGGTAAAAAGACATTTAAGAAGGCCGAGGGTGAGACGGCAAAGCGTAGCGAAAAACCACACGGAAGCTGTGTATTACGTATTAGGTCCTTTGAGCGGTGCACCAAATTGGAAAATTTCGGCGATGGAGAATTGGTCGTGAGGCCGAATATACTCAATTAACGATAATGACGTATAAATTGTTATACCGACACGCAGTTTTGATTGTTTTACGGATAAAAAAACAAACGGTTTTAACAGTGGGTGTTATATTATTATGTTTGAAAAATGTTTTCGACATTTTTACAAAAGTTACATAAGATAGGAACAAATAAAAAAATACACAACGACCGAACTATACGTAAGTTTTCTACTCCAACTTTTTGAAAGTTTTTATTTTCGCGTAGTCTGTATTATTATTAGTATGTTGTGTTTAAATGATAATAATTATTCAAAGAAGTTCGAATAAAATTTCGAAAAAACACTAGGAAAATAATACTAATATTATTATTATAAAATAATATTGGTACCTAATACCGAGTGATCTAAATGGCAACCTATATTAAAAATTCCATATTTAGACGGAGTATTATAATTAAAATAAATTTGAGTGTTGGCGTTTTTGATTTCCGTCGATCCGTTGACGAGATATTCCCCTTTTAAGTTCAGGTCGGAGGAGAGTTCAGTGGAGTATCATTTGTGTGGCGGTACTTCACGCGGCATGTTAATAATGCACCATTACTGTCTCGCAACCCAAACTTAAAAGGGAAATATCTCGTCAACAATTAAAAATTTCAACACTCAAATTTATAATACTCCATCTATTCGTGGAATTTTCAATATAGGTTTCCATTTGAAAATCAAAAGTAGGCAGTGGTCTTAGCCCTAAAAATAAGGGTGACAAAAAATAACATTTAAATATAAAGCTGCTTGTTTCCTAAATGTTCTAGAAAACGAATTCCGGAAAAATGTAATACTTTCCGAGATAATGAGTGTACCCACTTACATGGATCACCTGATGGTACAGGTTAGGTATAGTGTAATTATTGTACTGTTATGTCGATTTTTCATAAGTGCGGCGAAATATTGCATATTAGTGCAATACAATATTAAATTATTATACGTGCCATACATAATATTATGTATAAAAAAAAATTCGAATTATTTACATTTCCGCTAAATCCGGTTGGAAATAACTAATTCGCGTTATTTAACATTAAAAAACATTTATTTTTATTTCTGAGCATATAATATATGTACGAGTACGCATAGAAACAGACGTACATAGAAAAAAAAAAAAAAAAACCGTACACGAGCATACGCATTTACGCGAAAACATTCAGTAATATTATTTGAGTTTAAATCTTTTTATACCAAAAATGAACGAGGAAAAAAATAAAATTCCGCATAATATTGTATACAATATTATTGCGTACAAATAACGTCGGAATGTCAACGACTTTATCCCGTCGTCGAACCGAACCGACAATAGGCACCTATACCAAGTACCGCGAGTGTTTTGTCTACTAAAAAAAATTATAATATTCACCAAACGAAATCAATAAAACCGGAACACGAGTATAAAAATAAAATGTATACATTTATAAAATATCAGAGGCAACAACGATTCATCACTTTTTTCATTTCTCGTATTTTCAACACTTTTTCTCTCCGTATACAACAGCAGTAGTGCAGTTATATAATATTGTATTTACAATTTCGCGAATTGCGAAAACCGTTAAAAAATACGGTGATAAAAAAAAATAACAAAAGAATAATAAATAAAATATAATAACTAGACATTTGGCGACGAAAATATGATTTTCAGCAGAACGCGATAGAGTTTTGTTTTGTTTTTTATTTTTTCAATTTTCTTATAACCTTGGCGTGATAGGTATATAAAAATAATTGCACTGGAAATAAAAAAATAAACACTATTATTTAATATTATATAATATGTATTAACAAACATTCTTCTTTTTTGAATAATATGATTTTAAACGATTTACACGACTACGACCGGTAAAATTAAAATTAAATATGTATTTAAACGAAATATTTTGATTTTTTTTTCCCCCCACAGACGTGACGTCATGCAGTAAATTAAACCTACAATCAAAAGTTAAAGACATTTTGTTAAAAAAAAAAAAAAACTTAAATATTTCGTAGAAATTCACTTTCAAAAAAGAAAAGGTATTTTTATTATTATTTTTTTTTTTTTTTTATGTGTACAGTATTAAGATTATTGCAGGATGTTGACACGATTTTATATGTCTCCAGAATCTAAACATAATACATATAAATGTATAGATATTGTTACAAAAAAAGGATATTGAAATTTGCATTTTAAAAGAGCTAAAAAATGAAAACAACCATGTATCAGTTTATACATTTTATTATATTATACAAGGAAGTTTATATTTTTTATCATGTCCCAGCGTTTCTCTGTGAGGATTTTTGGTAAATTTGATTTCTGTTCTTTTATTCTTACTATCCTCGTATACCGTTAAAAAGTATTAACTTTTGATTTTCAAATGAAAATCCCTCTTTTCATAAAAGGATTTAAAAAAAGGATATCGTCTAAACATTTTGATACGCATAACACTGTAGTAATATCGGATAGGTACCGTTTTAGCCTCCCGTTATTTAAATCTGATGCTCGTGCCTACCAATCTTATCCCTCCCCTCTTATTCTTCCACGTCTTTTTTTTTACTAAATGTTCTCATTTCCACATCGGTTTTCGTATGGTTCTTTTCTTTGTCAAGCTCTTTTCCAACACTGTATACGGAGTAATAAGATTTGGATTCTCCAAGCGTGCCCTGTCTTTTGTAGTCTATTATTTCTAATAACTATTAGATAATGGTAAGTTATAACTGATATTTAATAATCCTTTCATATTTCTTCGATTTATTTTATAAACCCAACCTAACTTATAACGTGGTCAACCCAAAAATGCCCAACATTTTTTATTCATTGTAAAATATTCTCTTTTCGAATCTGTTTTTGAAAAGGGATAGGTTTGAAAATCAAAAGCTGTCATACTTGTTATTTATACTAAGTAAAACTAATAAGGGTAGTATTTTAAATGAGTGGTAAAATAAAAGATCATTAAACGATTTTATAAAGATTTCAAAAAAAAAAAAATATATATATTCTTATACCTAGATATTCGCCGGATCGTAATAACAAAAAAAAATAACAATCGCTTTGTATAATTCCTTTTATTTGGCAACGTCACTATAATATTATAATAGGTATTATACATTAAAAATATTACAAATAAAAAAAATGTTCTTACCGTGTAATACAAAAAAAAAAAAATAAATATAAATCGACTAGATATTATTATTTACAATAGAATAAAAATCAAATTAAAAAAAAAAGTTACCCGTTGAAATGGGTTTTTTTTTTTTTTTTATTGTTGTTGTTTGTTTTCCGGGGAACGGAAATTCCTTGCCGTATACAATAGACAGAGATATTATTAATTAGTACATAGAACTTCACAGAATATTATTATTATTAAAAACGAGTTAAGTGTTATATAAAAACAGAGAACCGTATGGGAATAACAAAGGTATAAACGTGTCTGAGCTTACACGCACAATTTAACTAATATTTTAATAAGTATTATTATTATATAATATAACAATGTTGTTCTTGTTTAACATTTTTTTTTTTACGTCTTAAGTCTGTTATACTTTTTTCAAAACCGTTTCAATATTTTCTCATTTCCGAACGACGGTAATTACATAACATTATAATATAATAACAGGTAACGGAGTTTGTTAATTTATTAACATTGAGCTTTTATCGCGCCACCGTTTTTTTGTAAGTACTAAAGCATAAAATTGTCTGTGGTTTTGTGTGTATGTGTGTGTGTGTTTGTGTGTATGTGCAAATTTCGCAGAGAAATCAATTAAACGAATATTGTTGAAACTCGGTGACTCGAGCTGCCCGGCGATACGAACGCCGAAAAATAATAATTAATATTAATTGGCGAGGCGTGTCAACGCGGAATATTGCTACATAATATTCCAATGAATTAATCGAAGTTAAACAAAAACAAAAAAAAAAATTTTTGAAACATCAAAAATAATACCGTAATAAACTATACACGTATAAGAATAGGACAACAAAAATTTAAAATATTGTTGTAAATAATGAACTTCCTACTATACGTATGTTAAATAACACGTAATATTATTGAAAAGGTAAATTATTTGAATACCGTAAATGTTGACGTAATTTATCAATGGTTTTTACGAGAAATTCTTGAGCCGTTCGATAATTTGTTTCTTTAGTTCATTTACCTAATGAATTTATAATGCATAGGAAGTGGTGAGGCCATAGATAAAATATAAACAACTGAATATCCGACACCTATACCCTTTTGTGTAAAAAGTTGAAGCCGACAAATTGGCCGATTTTTCTTATCAAGGAAGTGCGTGTGTAAATTTAGTTATATATGTTTAGTTATAAGTGCTGATTTCGTATAATTTTGTGCATTATGTTTAATAAGATTTAATTATTATTTTATGTTATTAATATTAATGAAATAATAATAGCATAGAATCAGAGGTGTTAAATAATATTGAATGTATAGAAAACTGCAATAGTTCAGACGTAATATGCTGATAAATATCACCTCTTACACAACACAAGGAAAAATTTGCGAGAAGAGAATTAGGGAAAAAATAGAACAAACCGGTTGCAAAGTCTAAGGAGTGGTTCCAGTACAATAACTAAGAAACGATTCAATGCTGCCGATTTCATGATTAGCATAATTTAACCATGAAAATTTCCAACCTTCGATAGAAGAGGAATATTAAGTAGAAGAAGACGATTGTTAATATTAGCAATACTGCAATACGATCAAACTATTGAATCATATATTTAAATAAATAAATAATAATCAGATGTATATTATTCCCATTGTCAAAATGTTGTAAAATGATTAATTAATCAAACTTTATTAGTGTTAGCCAACGATAGTTAGGTATCGATAATTCGATAAAATCGACACAGTGTCCGACGAATTTTAAACGTGTTTTTGTAAATATTTTGGATTTATTTCCGTGTGGTTTCCTGAATAATTTACCTAGTATAATAGTTAAACTTGATTAAAATAAATTACTGAATTGCATTTAATAAGTAGGTACTAAAAACATCATCTGCTATCATACGGAAGCGCACTGTGCAGATCTCAATAACAGGGCGATAGACGGAATCGAGCATTGCAAAATTGCAAATGAAAAGCCATTTTCAGCGAAATTAAATATATGTCAATCATTTTTCATTTAAATTCTGATTTACTTGTAATTAAAAGAAAAAATTACAATAGCTCGTATTTTTAACCAGTTTTAACATAAATTTGAACTTGAAACACTGATCGAAATAAATTTAAAAATTAATAGATAGTTAATAACTCTAAAAAGCCCAGGATTATTTCAAAAGTGTATCAAGTTCAGAATGTCTAAATAGAAGTATTAAAAGCTGTATTAGATGGAAGTTTCAGATCTTTACGATTATTTTCTACTGAATTACAATTTAAAACCGAAAGTATTAAAAACCATATAGCATAGTAAATCAATTATTATTGTGCATACCAGAACGCAAGACAGGGTCATAAGTTTTTAATGAGATTTGTGATGAAAACGATTTCCGGTCAAATATTTTTTCTCGTCACGCGATCATTTATAGCTATATTTGTGGTTCTTAACAATAAGCTGAATATAAACACGAACCTCTTTGATAAGAAGAGTAATTTCGATGGACGTCGATAATTCGTCGAGATGGCTATCTAATTGTTTATAATATGTGTCGGCGCAGACCACTAGAGTTAGCTATAATTTATAGATGTATGCATACATTTAACGTTTGCATCGCCGTTGTCATAAATACCTACTTGTCATAAACTGTGTTTGTGTATTGTGTGGTGTTTGTGTTAGGTTAGGTTGTGAGTTAATTTAAATAATTTCAAATGTTTCAAGTAGGCATAATGTAAACAAATTATTTGTAAATAATTTTATATCGATGCTATTTATGGAAAAAAAAAAATAATAAACGATTGATAATTATTCAGGCAATGTAAAAATGAATGGAGAGGGAGAACCAAGTAAATGTAAATAGATAGTGAAGTGCACGATCGCCGATCGCGGGATTCCGATAAAATACGTACTAGATACCCAGGGGTTTTGCAATTGTTCAGGGCGTTGTTTTTAGTACGATTAATTTTTACCGATATAGATCACATTTCTGCAAGATTTTCGGTATTAATTACTAAATAATGGCGGCGTCGACATAAATCCTACATAGAAAACAACTGGTTAAAAACGTTTGCGAAAAAATTCCTAGAACTTTTTTATCGGAGCCCATCAACTGTAGGTTTTATTATGATCTATTTTTTATATATATATATATACAATAAAGATATTTATATAGATAATATATAAGAAATAAAACCTCCGCAAATTCTTTTTGTAATTTCGTTGTTTCTATAAACCTACTAATAATGTACTTGGGGACGTTTTTTTTCATTCTTTTTTTTTTTTTTTATGAAAAAACAAACTGTGGGGGTTTATTTTATTATTTTAATTTCTTTCTTTATTCCGCGCGGCCGGGCACTATTTATAACGGTACGATGGCGTCAATTTATAGACTTAAGCATGCAAATTATGATGGAATTAAGTGTTTTATTTTTTAAATCTATTTAAATACTTAATAATTTGACCAAATGGTTTTACAGAGTCGTTGCGCATATTTAAATAAGTTAATTTTTTGTTTTTAATCATTTTCCGTTTAAAAGAATGGGCGTTGTCGGCACTACTTATAGTCACTTGTAACATGTAGTATTTTTCAGTTGACTTTAAATGGGGGGAAAATTTACAAATTCATAGATTTAACACAAACACGATTATAAAGATACACGAAATTCGAATTACAATTATTGAGTAGATGCAGACATTTTCATCTTGAAAATCTCTCCATCGTCCATAGATCTCGTTGTTCAAAAAAACCGTCCGTGAAATGAAATTTTCTCTTTCGAAATCAAACACGCGAGTCTCGCATTGCGAGCATTTATAGAAAAAATAATCCAAGCAAATTTTCTTAAAAGTTTAAAATTAGTCTACATTCAATCGGTGTTTTATTTTTTGTTTTTGAGTTTATGATATAGTTTGAAATTACACAATTTTTTTTCGGTTCAGGCAACTGTTCGATTGTATTTTCGGTGAAGTATCTAGGAGGTTAAACGAGAGGCCCGCCCCCTTCATAAAGCGTTATTTACATAATCGTATTATTATGTAATATTTAATTTATATTTTAAAAACATGAATAAAGAAGGAAATGAAACAGTAAAGGAAATTATACACATTTTCATATGAAATTCTGTCAGGAGTATGCATTAAAAAATAAGCCAGAAATTAGATATTAATTAATCAATTTGTTTTTGATTTTTTTACTATGTAAATTAACACAATATCGTCGGCTAAGCAAAAACTTTTATTTAGTAAGCTACAAAAATAATCGCAAGAACACCTCCTCAATACACAAACTAGATCAGAAATCGTACAAAAACGTTTGTATAAACTTTTTGATTGAAGCAAGATTTCTGGTAGAAAAGTTGTTTACAGAAATAACAAAAAAAAAAAAATGAACTTACAAGTTTTTGCTAGGTAACCGACGATATAATACATATATTTGGTATTTTTTTTTTTAGTGCTCTCTCCCAAGAGAGATTTCTTACTATGCCACTGTTAAGGTTTATTATAACATTATTATTATACGTCTACTGGGCCCTGTTGGGTATCTAAAGAAATGTTAGTCTATGTTTATTTTTTAAAATCGTTTAAATATCATTTTGGGTAGCTGTATCTGTTATAGAACGCTCAATAATCTATTTTTGACTGAAGATCAGTCAAAAATCCTTCTTTTTTCTCGCAAACGCAATCGATCAAACACTATATATATATATATATATATGTATACAGTTATTATAGTCGTATAGTGGCAAAAATGTCTAAGGAACATAATATGAGGGCGTCTTATAAAAAGATTGATCTTTCGTTTAAAAAGAGAAAATAATAATAATAATAATAATAAAAAAAAATGTTGATGGCTCAGTATATTCTTTTTTTTCAACTAGCAGATTTATATTTACAGACCGGTGGGGTGGCGGTAGCGTAGTCTAGACGTCATAATCTATCATCAACGCCTTCGAATTAATCGAAACGGTTTATCTTGCTCGCATTATAAATTCGAATTTACCAACAAAAAAACCGATTCTGTTGATTAGTGCACAACTGTTATGGATGGAAAAATACCTAACTAAAGTAAAAATTTAATTTTTATCTGTACGCAACGATAAATCATTGCTAACGAAAACCAATTTTGAGTGAAAATTGCGATTTTTACGATTTTCATACAATTATAAAACCATTCCACGTCTAAAGAAGTCTTATATCCGTATCCATATAAGATAAAAATTTCAGGTCTCTATGATTACTATAAACGATAAAAAAAAATATATATATATAGGAGACGGGTTCAGCCACTGTTGTAGGTGGGAAATTGGGAAGGTAGGATACAGATGAGAATTTAATATATAGCAAAGATATTGCTCACGAAAAATGATTCTGAGCGCAGTTCAGTTGATGTTTTGTCAAGAATATATATGTCATGTTATGGTAAAATAATTAAACTATATAGGCATTATATACTTTTTTTAAATATTTGTTTAATATTGTACCGATTTTCCCAGTTTTTTAACTTTTTCCCGATTTTCTTATGTTTTGTCCTGGTTTTTCACAAAATTGATGAAAAAACTCCCGAGAAAATCGAAAAATGATCTTAATGCTGCCCCCCCCACAACGATTTTCTTTCAGAAAAAGTGCTACACGTAGAAATCCGAGCCAGTCTTCTGGTTGAAATGTTGCGCATAGATAAAAAAAAAAAAATAAACATCTTTGTAAAACCATAAGCTTATTCGCTCCACTCAGAATCTAAAATAAAAGAAAAAACACCTTCCCGTTACACTAAATAAAAACATTTGTTACTATAAATCACTTTTGAAGCTGATGGTTGGAACGCGATTTCTAGTAGTAAAGTTATTTGCAAACAAAAAATAAATTAAAACTCGCCATAGTAAAATCAATACATTCCGTGCTTCACTGAGAATTAAAAAAAAAAAAAATTAATAAGTTGGAGATAGGATATGGATTCTATTTACTGTTTACGAGTATGCGTTTTAGATGTTTTACTAAAAAAACCCAAAATCATCATTATATAACTAGAATTGATTAAAAAAACTGAAAATATGTTTCAATGACAACAAATCATAAAAATAATCTATCGTTTTGAATACTGCATACCTAATAATGTTTGTTTTTTTTTTTTAATTGCCCATTAAGAAAAAACTGAAATGTTGTGAATGTACAATAATTCGGGTTTTTTTTAAAAAATAATTAGTGGTTTTATTTTATTATTATTTTTTTTTTTTTTGTTAATTTAGTGAATTGTATAATTTTTACTGTTTTCGGACATTTAATATAACACATACATGATATCTAATTAGTACCTTTTTATATCGACTCATTTTTCAAATATTCGTTTTATAGACATTATAAGCACCTTAAAAACGTTAAAAAGGTCGATAAAAAATAAATATATGAATATATTAATTCGCAATCCGATTAAACGTATCGGCTTAATGATATGTAAATTTCAAAAACCTTCAACGCATACGGCATATTAAATTTAACCATGCCATTGACCCACAACACGGCATCAAATAATAATATGTTGAAGTGATCAAGCTTACTAAAAGGTTTTCATATAATATAGGTACTTATAAACATATAATACGACGAGTAATGCGATTGACAATACTATAATTACTATCAAAGTTTGGCAAATTAATAGTTAATACATATAAGCCCCAGTTAAGTTAAGTTAATATTGAAGAAATATGAACTATTTCACAGGTTGAAAGTTAATAACTAATCGAGTTATGATAAAGTTAAATTTAAACTCAATTATTAGTTTAAAAAGTTAATTTTTTTCTTTTATTGAATTTAATTTGTTTAACATAGTGAAAATAATTAAATCTTAAGTTAGTCATTTTTTTGAAAATTAATACTTTTAATACATTAAATATAGAGGTTTTATATATACTAAATACACTTAACAGTTTGTATTAATATATCTCACAGACAAAAATTCATAAAACAATAATCAATGTTATTGGACAAAATATTTAAAAACTTAAAAGTTGAACTTATTTTAACATTTAATTCAACTTTTGACCCTTGCTTAGATTACTAACTCAACTCGTTTACCTTAATTTAAGTTTCTTTTAGTTTTAACACAATATTAAATTTAGAATCTAAGTACCGAAATATTTGAATATTTAAATATAGGTTATATAAAAAGAACCTATAAATAGTGATTTTTTTTTTTACTCAATAATTTGTATGAATTTCTGAGATTAATATAAGTATAATTTGCTATTTTTGAAATAAACCCCGAAATTGTATTTAGCAGTTAATAATTTTCAAAAAGCACAAACTCTAAGGTTTAATCATTTTCCCAAATGGCAATTATGATTCAAAATTAATTAACCTTATTTAAACCAACTGTAGGTAATTTTAATTTTTAAATAATCTTTTAACTTAGTACATTTTTAAAACAATCAACTTTAGATACGTGTTAATTTGTTAACTCAATTTCGATTACCTTTACTTAACTAAATAAGTTCATATAATTTATTTAATTGCTAATATTTTATCGTTTTAGTTTGTAAGTAATTAAAACAAACCGTTTTTTTTTTTTTTTACTTAGATTACTACATTAAAATATTACATAACCGATATGAAATACATCTTGACGTGAGTTAACACAATGGGATTAAATTATTCATTATAATAATTAATAATAGAAGAAAACACCATAAAATAAAATAAAAAAAAATGTTTATGATTAAAATAATAATTAGATTCGAATTACCGCACTTTAATTTTCCATTCACTGAAATTCACGGATAAAAACGAAAAATTACAAAAACCGAGTTTAAAATTTTATGTCGTGAACCTGCACAAATATTTGTTCTGTATATATATCTGCGGTACGTACTTAACTATATTATTATATATGTTTAATCATTTGAAGTATATAAAATATAAAATACAATTACGAGTCATCTTTGGGCTGAACTAAACAAAATGGAGGACCGTCAATAAACTATAGCAGTGATGAGGAAATAGTATTTGACGTTCATAATTCTGTAAATTTCTCCATTCAATGGATATCAAAGATATGGCCCGTATATTTTTCTCTCGAAAACTACTAATCTTAGTTCTTTGGCAATTTTCAATGGCAGTATTATCTTTCATTTTGTTAGTTGTAAGTTTTTGATTTGTATACACTATATACGTTGCATAAACTGTATCTATACCTACCTACCTACTTTATTGTTAAAAAAAAATACCCATTTTTACAATTTTAAATGCATTTATTATCTTATAACTAGATTATTTGAAATTTCAAATGCTATATGAGCTCATGAGCCATGTAATATTAGCTACCATCGAATTAACGTAGTGGGGAGCCGAAGAAGGATAATACGAATACATTTTACAATAAAATGACGTTATTATTTTATTATTTAATCGTATAATAATCGGATTTTAAACCAGCAACTTTTTTTTTTTTGTTTATGATCCGATATAAAATTTACATTGCGAAAACAAAATAATAATAACATAACAATAAGACTTAAGACATTATTCAATTTACTGCGATGTAACTACTCATATAGTATAATAATAAAAACGTGGCAAAGATAATATGTATTTTTCAGAATTTTTTAGTTTTCTGTTCAATTCAGAACTTAGAATTATATGCTCCAAAAAACATGACGGTGCGGAGCAATACAAATGTCACAGCGCAGGTAAGTTTTGTAATTGTAGTGCGTTAATAATTTAAACCGATTACCTAACTATAGGAAACATCAAATTTCACTGTAGTAAGACGATTTACACCATACAACAATATTATGAATAAATAAATGAAACATTAATAAAATGTGAGTTTTTTTTTTCTTTGTTACAGGTAATGCATAATCGATACAGGTATCCAGATCTTAAAAAATAAATACCCTAATTTTCGTTAGGTAACCTAACCTAATCTAATGCAGCTAAATAAGGAACCTATTAGTAAGTGGGTGTAAGAATAAAAATGATAATAACAATATTAATTTTTTGCTATTTAGTTTAATATCAGTATTTATGATTTGTATTATAAATGTTACGATGTTATAAATATAAATTAGTAAACATTTTAATTCATTTTCAATTAAATTAAAGAATAAATAATTCACAACCGATAAAAACATAACTAATACACGTTATAATACACTTTATGAGAAGAATTGCATTTCTGACTTAAATTTAAATAATTATGCGTAATATATATTAAAATTTGAATACTATTTCTGTGGGAGAGGATTATAATATTCCCACGGTACTTTCCCTGTCGTAAGCGGCGACAAATGGGGTTGCTTCAAGTCAAAAATATCAAATAATTTGAGGTTTCCTAAACAAGATTTTGGCGAATCGTCTCATCTCAAACAGAAAAATATGATAATAATGTAACATAGAATTATGTGTGGCTTGATAAAGTAAAGAGAAGCATCAGGTGTTCTATGTGACAAGAGAATTCCAATGAAATTTTAAGATCACAAGAGTAAGGTGATTTGGAATATTGGGCGGTAGACGGATAAGTAGAACAGATAATGAGTTTATCATAAATATTAACGTTTAGATGGATGAGTTGAGTGACGAGATAAGATCGGGTAAGAAAAGAATAACTAAGAGGTAGCGTAAACGTAGTTTTTATAGTAGAGAAATGAGAAAAAATACATTGAGATATTATGGACATTTCATGAGAAGAAAGAGAGGAACCAGGAGCAATAGAAATGACCATGAAAATTAACATAGGAGAAAAAAAGGAAAAGAAAAACCAAAAATTAGATGTTTTTTTTTGTAGATAAGAATAATTAAAGGATACTCGAAGATAGCCAATGTATTTAAGGTGAGAGGTCGAGTCAAGTGAAAGTTTAGGACGAGGGAGGCCGACCCAAAATAGCTAATGAAAGCGAAGGAAAAGAGAAGAAGAAATTATTAAATAAAGAGTAGGTATACATGATAAATAAAATATTTAGTAATAATATATGATATAATTCTATAATTCTGTTCGACAGTAGTCGAAAGACAAATTGATGAAAATGCAAGAATGAGCAAAATCAAAGACGTCATTCTTGAAGAAAAGTGATAAAATACACCAGACAAAGTTCATATAGGGGTAATAAGACGAAACAGTAAAGAAGGATGTACTTTAATGTATTTAGGGTGTGAACAAAATTGGAAAATTTTAGCGATAGCTAAAGGATTGGTTGTAAGGCGGAATAGTTATTAGTCCCAGAGGCCAAATCAATCCAAATAGAAATAATAATACATTATTCTACCGTATAATAATATATTCGTATGTATACACTATTCCTAAAACTAAAAACTGCTACTTTGTTTTCAGTGTAATACTTGAAAATAATTGTTATGTATTTTCCTTTGAACTGCGATAGCGAATAGATGTAGGCATATTTACTTATAAATAGTTTTACAAAAAAAATCAGAATTCCAAAAATAGATTACTAGTTTTGAAATTTCGAATGCAACTTTACGTACAAGACAATGGATTTATCAAAACGTCTATTCAGCTATTTATACCGATTTGAATGTAATACTGGTAAATAGTTTCATTGATAAAGAATAATTATTTACGTGTTCACGACAGAGCTTATTGGGTACACTGGTACACATTTATTTCATTCGGTTGATAGATACATAGTCATATACAAAAGTATTTGATTGTATACTAAATTTAGTCGTATTAATCGAATTCTTCAAATTTAAAAAGACATGTATTCGATTAATAAATACTGGCTTATCATAATAATTTAAACTACACATATATATGTAAATTTAAACTATATATAATAAACTGTTTTTTCTTTTTAAAACTCAATATATAGCCAAGTAGAGAACAAATTAAAAGAGATAGGTAATTTTGAAACTTTATAATATACTTTTTGGTCGTGATAAAGTTTTGTAACAAATTGGAAGCGATCCAAAACGTATTCGTAGCCGCTGAAAAATATAATACGAACATTAGGAAATTGCTCGCGTTGGTTTTTCGTTATTATTATATTATGGCATGTGATTATACGGTGAAGAGTATAATAAAATATTTAAATTAATTTTTTGCCGAAAAAATTATATGTATTTTATCTTTAAAACCTTCGTATACATGCTAATAGATATAAAACTAATAGATTTTTTTATTTTTTAAGTAAATGAAGTATCAAAATATATAATGTTGTACCTATTAAATGATGATGATGATTATGATAATTTTCATATTATTGAAACCGGTCGTAAATAAAACAAAAAATTACTCCAGGCTAAGTTTTAGATTCTTAGCAAAGCATAGAACGCATTGGTTTTGCAATGATATTTATTTTTTCTGTGAACAACTTTCCTATTGGCAATTTAGCTCCGATTTACAATGACAGTACTTTTTCTGAAATTAAATCTGACCGGGATGGTATTTTAAGGTGGTCGTTTTTTGATTTTCCCAGGAGTTTTTCTAATAAATTGGAAAAAAAACGGGAAAATAAGTACAATATTAAACAAATTTAATTAAATAAAATATATAATGCATATTATGTAATTATTTTACCAAAATACGAATTGTTGACAAAGCAACACTATTAACAAAACTCCGCTGATTGAACTGTTGAAAAAAATGACTAGGTTTTCAACAGTTTTTTAATAAAAATCAAAATCCAACAACAAATGTCAATATATCGGTTTTATTTTAACTGGATTACTTTAACAACGGGACTAAAAACTATGGAAAAAATACCTTATACTACTACTACCTACTATGACTATAACTGCAGTTTGCCATTTCTTATTTCATAAACTATATCAACAATGGCCTATCTGTGAGTAACATAAACACTGCAAGTGAAAAATGGTTATTGTACAATTTTATTTTTATAATTGTACATTTATATTTCACGTATATATTGGGACCAGGTTAGGCTAGGTTAAACAGTTAAGTTAAGGTTAGGTTGGGTAACTCTTTAGAGTTACTGTTTTTGTACACCAACGTGTAAACTTCATATTAATGATACGTATTTTAAGCTAAATTTTGGTCGAAGGAAAATGTTCATAAACTTATATATTATTTTCAATTTGATAAATCTGCTATTTTAGTTGAATTTTGAGTAATATTTTCTGTTTTTAGAAATGTATAGAGCAATCAGCGCAACAAGATACTGAGGCATGAACATGAGATACAATAGCAATTTTAAAATTGGATCTCTATATTAAAAGACATTTTTTATAAAATTACATTTCATTTTATTTTAGATACCTATAGTCTTTATCAGTCTTTATTTGGTCTCCCACAAAGCTTTAAGCTTAAAAATAATCAGTAGAATTACTAGAACGTATTCATCTAACTCAGAGATCCATAGTTCACCCCATCTCTTTTTGAGACGGTCTGTCAAGCTATATATTAGTTTAAATTAAATACCGCAATATTTCTTTTTCGTTTTCTTAGTTTATATAAACTTAGTACATCTATTTTTTAGGAATTAACTTTTAATTTAATAAAGTAAAACAAAATTAGTTAACTTTGAACTCATAACTAGTATAAAAATAATGTTCAACTTGTCTAGCCTTGATAGGTAAGATAATATCACTAGGAATATAGTGGAAATAACTCGGAAACCGCACTTAAGGGACCTATACTACAGTTTTTTTTTCTCATCTGATAACCAGAATCTTGCAAATTTAAATTTCGTATTATATTATATTGTCGTGTTATGTGTGGCGTTTTGTATATTATATCGGACCATATACTGTAAATCTGCAGCAGAACGACACTGGCGTTTCGCATTATTATTCCGACTGCATAATATATAGTGGAACTTGATAAATAATATTTATCGTTGAGACTCTCAATATATACCTATATTACAATGTACACATATATAACAATAATATTATTCTCATAGGACCAACTGCCAATATAGATAACAGAATGATTCGTGATACGGTCGTAAACTATAATATTATACTGTTGAAATATTACCGTTCAGCAGTGGTTTGTTAAGGTCCATAAATTGGTTTAAAAATCTACACTA